CCTCGTTTGGAACTTTGTGGTGTAGTTCTGTTGGTAAAACTAATGAAAAGAATACTAGAGGCCATTCAGCTACCTATAGTCAAGGTGTATTACTTCACCGATTCGTCAATAGTGTTAGCATGGATTAAGAAGGAACCTTATCAACTAAAGACAATTGTTGCTAATAGAGTATCTGTTATTCGAAGCATGACTGCGATTCATGAGTGGTACCATGTTAGCACTCACAATAATCCAGCTGATTTAATATCACGTGGAGCTGAACCTAAAGATCTTCTTCATAATGATTTATGGTGGTGTGGACCAACTTTCTTGACTAAGGAGAGGTTTCTGACTAATCCTTGTGAAGTAATTTCATTTGATATGGATAATGTGGAATACGTCAAAGAACTCAAACTTAAGGATAATGACTTAGTTAATCTAAATGTGAACTCTAATTCCCTTGTTTTAGATCATATTCTTAACATTAGTAATAACTATATTCGTATTATTCGTGTGTTAAGTTTTGTTTGTAGATTTTTAGCCAATTGTAAGGGAAAACATTTAATAGGTTCTCTAACTGTAAGGAAACTGTTAAAGAATTGGATGACGCTGAGAAAATCATTATCAGGTATGTACAGTTACAGCATTTTAGCAAGGATATTCTGTCTTTAAAAAATAAGAATTGTGTTTCTTCCAAAAGTAAGTTAAAATTTTTATGTCCATTTCTAGATAATGATTCTCTTCTGAGAGTAGGAGGCAGACTTGCCAATAGTAATCTTAATTACAACCAAAAGTTTCCTTATGTAATGCCAAAAGATCATGTATTTACTAGATTAATTTTTCAGTATTACCATGTTAAATATTTACATCTTGGTGCTCAAGCACTATTGCATCAGGGTTCGTAGTAAATTTTGGGTTATTAATGGTCGAGATATAGCTCGAAAGGAATGTGTAACATGTGTACATGAATGCATAACATGTTTTAACGGTTAAACCAATTGTATGTGAACAACTTATGGGAAATTTACCTGGTGAGAGAGTTAATCCCAGGGTTTGTATTTAATACGTGTGGACTCGACTTTTTCTGGTCCATTCCTCATTAAGTATAAAAATCAGAGAAAGGGTAATTATGCAAAAGTTTTTTTACTTATATTCATTTGTTTAGCTACTAAAGCAATACATTTAGAGGTAGTAGGTAGTAACTGATTTAACCACAGATTCATTACTTGCTACTATTAAAAGATTTATTGCTAGACGTGGAAAATGTAATACCATAATGTCAGATAACGGTACTAATATGCTTGGTGCAAAACTCAGAACTGAAAAAAATTGCATAGCTTAGTCCTTAAATCTAATTCTGATATAGCAGATTTCTTAACATCTGAAAGGTATAAATTGGAAACTAATTCCACCTAGAGCACCAAATTTCGGTGGTTTATGGGAAGCAGGTATTAAGTCATTTAAATATCATCTTCAGCGTACAATCGGCAGTTATAAATTAACTTTAGAAGAATTTTGGACTGTTGTCACACAGATTGAAGGTATTCTCAATTCTCGTCCAATTTTACCTTTATCAACAGATGCGAATGACGTTGAAGCCTTAACGCCGGGTCATTTTTTAATTGGACGTTCCATTACTTCATATCCTGAACCAGATTTATCTCATCTTACAGATAATAGACTTTCTAAATGGCAAGTTATTACCAAATTCATTCAAGTTATTTGGAAACTTTGGCAAACTGATTATTTAAATCATCTACAATAACTCACCAAATGGTTTATTAATAAAGAAAATTTAAAGGCAGGTATGTTAGTTGTGTTAAAGGAAGATAATCTTCCGCCATTTAAATGGTCTTTAGCAAGAATTCTAGAAGTTTTACCTGGTAAAGATAATAAGGCCAGAGTTGTTAAAGTGAAAACATCAAATGGTGTGTGTATATTCGATGTATTAGTAAAATTTGTTTATTACCTATCCAGGATAATAATGCTTAGTTTACATTATTATGTTCTTATTGAAAATTGTGCTTTACATTAAAATGGAACTGTTTAAAGAATAAGTTCGATTGTAGAATAGTGAATGTTTATGTTTTTAAAATGTTGCATTATTTTATATTATATTCATGATGAAATTATCTATCAGCTTTCATATTGTATTGTAGAATTAGTTGTTCTTGATTTGTTAAATTGTATGTTTGTTTGTAATTTACATGTTGAAATTTGTAATTTCAACTAGCGGCGGCATGTTAAGTTAGAATATAGCGCCACCTATTGGATAGGGAGAGAAACTCTCACTTGGCCATCAGGATTCGGCTAAGCAACATGCCAGAGCATGTATTAGATCTGAATAGTTAATTACTGTAAATAAATTAGTTAGTTCTTTTGCTATACAGTCCACTTATTAGTTTAGAATCATAGTACAGACACGTTAAACTTTCATCCTTGCGACTGCTTTTACAAAAAGAATTTTGGAAAAATGATAATATTTAGTATTTAAAAAAAATAAATGAAGCTTCCGAGTACACTTCTCATATCTTGCATCTTTAAAAATGTGATTTTGGCAACAATTTTCCTTTCTTATTGTTGTTGATAGATTTTTGATGAAATCAGATCATTTTGAATAGTTTCATTCTTTTAGAAATATGGGTTTGGCAAGAATTTTTCATCGTATTTCTTGTGTCACTGTTTTTAAGAGGTTAGCATATTTCATTGTCATTTTTTATATATATAATACTTTTTTATATTTAATAAATGAAGGTAACACACAAAACGTTAAAAAAAACTCCTCTTTAGACGAAATTTAATATGTGAAAATTTTCAGATTTATTTTAAAATTTATTTTTATTTATTTATTTATTTATTTTTGATGAAGTTGTTCTTCAGAGTAAAATTCTGCGCAGTTTTTAAATTTAACATTTGGTGTTCCCTTCAGGCATTTTTTCTGTACATTTAAAAACCAGACGAAGGCTGGCAGGGTAGCTGCTAGTAAACCAATAATTCATAATAATATATATTTACAATAAGAAAGTTTTCCATATAAAATTTTCTTCTTATAAATTATTCGTTTATATATATATATATATATATGTACTATATATATATATATAGTTCGCTGATTTTGTTAATAAATAATAGAATGACTAAATATGGGAGATAAATGAGCAATCTTATATGAAGGACAACATTCTAATAACTAGACATGAGCAACTTCTAGTGGAAAATAAAGGTATTTGTATCCTCAGGGGCAACACATTATTTTTAAATCTCTTAGTTTGTTGGCCATTTTGAGATGTAAATATATGTATATGTTAACGGCAAAGTATAAAATCAGGCCATTATAAAGAATACCTAGCTACTTTATTGAACCCGAAAACTGACCAGCAGTGTATGAAAGGATTAAATATTTCACACATTTCCGAGGCATTTTACAGAATGCCAAATGACAAAACTCCAAAGTATAAACTACATCTCCATATTACATACAGTGCCTAGGAAAAGTAAATAATAATTCGTGCAATATATTGGCAGTTGTAATGAGTGTGACAGGGGATAGTCTTTACCAACATGGAACTTCTGAAAGAATTTTAAAAGTTATATACGAGATCACAGTTTATTTTATGTTCTAAGAACTTGCTCAGAATTCCTGACCACGAAATTCTTCTGTAGTCAGTTGCAATTGTTCAGTCCAATGGGAACGGCCAAGGATTCGTACAGTGTATGTGCAAAACAATATACCGAACCATGCAACGTCTTTGTGTGAAAAAAGTAATGAAATTAATTCGAAATGTCATTCAAGCCTACCATGTTGCAACAAATAGGTTAACTTTAATTTCTTTCTTTTTATGTGAAGATTTTGTTAATTTTTATTAATAAAGGCATAAATTTTGTTTCGTGAAACTTTAATTTTTTAATACATTTTTTAAAATTTTTTAATGGCTCTCTTTCATTACTTTTTCAAGATCACTTTTTGTATCTGAGGAATGAATGTCTTTAAATAATAGTCTTATCATGACCATTTCGTCATACTTTACCTAAAGAGCATTAGTCATTTTATACATTGCCTAGGTAAGATATGTAATAATTCTCATATTTCATAATTTGCTTAAAAACGCCAAGCATTCTATAAAATGCCTAGGTATTCTACAGTGTTACGATTTGATCAAAGAGGCCTAAACCCGCTTTGCAGTAAATTACCTTCCCCGCAAAGAGGTTTTAGGGTTGCCAGAAAATAGCAAGGAAAGGCAAGATTGCCAGAATTAGTGCCAAATCGTCCATTTGGCAACATTTGGCGACAAAATTGGAGATATGCCATAGACGGAGTGAGAATATTCTGGAACGAATTCCAACCAGTTTGCCCCGGAGTGTTCTTGAAGGCAGGCCAAAAGCTATATGAACCCTGCCTGTACACGGAGTAGCATTGTGTCGTGAGTTTTATCGTGAAGAGTGTCTTGAGTTCGAGAGCGATCGACCGAGTGGGGGACTTGTATTTAATGTTCTGCCGTGAAGCTGTCTTCACCGTTATAGCCTGATAGCAGAAAGGCTGTGTTGTTGATTTTTCAGCGGGTTTATCGTAGTCTTTCGACGATTGTAAACGTATCTTTGGAACTCTCCTGTAAAATACTGGCGAATAAATAGTGTTTTCATTCTTCGTCAAGTGTTGTCAATTATAGAACGCAACAATAGAATGCCGATATTTCATACTTTGAATGTACCATATGTAGATATACATTTAATGAATTTTTATTGGAGATATGCATTTTGATTTTCAAGTAAAAATTTAAAATTAGCTAGTAACAGCAACAAATTGGAGAACTGAAATGATTTAATTATCTCGAGATGTTGCACCGTCTAAGCTTTGATGCTTAAATTAAAATGCATAATTATGACTGCTTAGGATTATTTTACAATCACACGGCTGTTATTTACTTATCCTATGACTTAAATGACTTTTCATTTAAGCATCAAGAAAATTAATTCTGTTATTTTGAAGTCGATTTAAGAGAAGGATTAAAAATGATACTTGCCGAATCATCTATCTTTGTTCGAAGAAGATTAGCTATCCATTTTGAATTTGAATCCATTTTTGAAGCAACATGTCGTTGACGTGGAATTTGAACCCCTCTACAACCACCATTGCAAAATGTCCAGAGAACTCCCTGAGGCCATAATATGTACTCGTCTAGTCCAAGTTCTGAAAAATATTTTTAAAAGATATAACACCTAAAAAATCCGATATATTTCAGCCAGCGCTATTTCTGAGTGAAATGCCATTTGTTCAAACATTTTTACTTAAAATTTACCTAAACTATTTCATTGAATTTCCCTAAAGCATTTCCTGGAACTGAGAAACAGAATTTACTCTAAAGAATAATGCTTAATTTACACGAAAGGATAAATGAATACTGTTTGCTATTGCAAGTGTGCAACTATTTCTTAGTAATTGTTGAATAATATTCAACAGTTCTAAAGTATTTCATGAAGTAAATATTATTGGTTCTTGAGTACTTCACAAAGTAATATTGACAGATCATAAAAAATTCATAATATTAATTGATTTATTTATGAACTCTGAGCTACTGAGGCTATTCGCACATCTTTTAAGAGGTTTTAGTTTGCTAGAAAAAATCTGCTTGATTTTTTTAACGGCTACTATAGTTTTGAACCTATAAATTATGGTCTGTTACTTGAAAGTTTTGTTTACATGCAAAATGCAGCTTTTATAGAAGCAATGGAAGGCTATGCTTATACTCTTTCCGAAGAAAATATTTCGTAGCTAGTTATGTAAAAATGTGCTATGAAAGCCATGGTTTTTCGATATCTAAATCTGCGATAGTTAATATTGTCAACAATAAAAGAAGAAAACTTGAAAGTTTGGCTTCAAGTGGAAAAATTGCTGAATGTTTCGAATGTTGCAAAGGTAAGATCTTTAATGTTAAAGGAAAATCCGCTAAGTCAAATGACAGTTGTAAAATCCTTTAACTTCTCAGGTCAACTATAAGCAAAGTGATTAATGCTGATTTGAATTTTAGAATAGTGAAAAAACATAATGTGCACGGTCTATCTTCGTGACCTAGTGCGAATGCAGAACGCCCTGGAGAATTCATTATGAGAAACATTTGTCTGGAAAAAAAAATGGAAAAGTCCCTACTAATGTCAAGATATCCCTACTAATGTCAAAATAGATGAATCTTGGATGCCTTTAAATGACTGCTATAAAAAAGATCCATTTATTATTATCAAAGAGGATTTATAAAGTATTATTAAGTACTTTACAATATGAATCAATTGATTATAAAATATTATTCAGTATAATATTAACTGATTCTAAAGTATTCATGATTTTAACTAGTTCTAAAGTATTCTGCAAAATAATATAAACTGATTTTAAATTAACTTTAAAGTAAAACTAACTTTAAAGTAGTTTTAGTTATACTAGTTTATATTAGTTTATATTATTAGTGGACTTTAAAGTATTCTACAAAATAACAGTGACTAGTTTTAAAATGTATTACAAAGTAAAAGTAATTCATTTTAAAGCATTAATATTTGTTAATTCTAAATTATTTACAATGTTAACTGATTCTAAAGTATTTTACAAAATAATAGTAACTGGTTCTAAAGTATTCTACAAAGTAATATAAACTGATTTTGAATTATTTATATATTATTAGCTGACTCTAAAATTTTCTATAAAATAATATTAACTAGTTTTAAATTGTATTACAAAGTAAAATTAATTCGTTTAAAAACATTAGTGTTAATTAATTCTAAATTATTTACAATATTAAGTGATTCTAAAGTATTTTAGCAAATAACATTAACTGGGTTTTAAAGAATTTTACCGAATAATATTAATTTATTCTTAAATATTTTACAAAACAATATTAGCAAGTTTTAAATTATTATAAAACTAGATTGAACTAACTGCGTTACTTACCAGCAAATGATACATAAATTTCTTCCTTCTGGCACATGTTCTGTACATCATTTCTATTGGACCGCTTCCTGATGACCCTTTCATTTAACCTGCTTGCTGGTACATCAAATTCTGGAAAATCCAGTGGGATTTCTGCTGTCTGCAAGTCCAACGTAGGATATGTTTCGTTGTCAAACAAGGAAGATTCATTTTCTCCCATTTCTGGATGCAGTTCCACAATATTTGGGAAGGGTGGTTCTTGAGCTGCTAATAAAAGTATATTACAAGAAATCTCGAGGAAGAAAGAGAAAGATACATAATAGAAAGATATAAATTAACACCATTTTACAGTACAATGAAATATTTGTTCACATATTTAATTAGCTTCTGATAGGCGATCCGCGTTCGAAATGTTCGGAGTCAAAACCAATTTTTCCACAAAAATGAATGCTAAATGAATTAATTTTTTATTTGAACACAGGTAATTGCTTAGTTAAAATTTACACCACACCAATACTTAGTGCTTAAGTTAATAACCGAAAACTAACGAAAACCATTAACTCTGTGACCAAAAAAATGTAAACAGATAAAACAGACAAAACATTTAATTTAATGTGCCCGTGCCCGTATGAAGGGAACTGTCAGGCAGAAGTTGAAAGTTACGATGAAGGGAAAAAGAACAGATGATATTGTTTGTATGAGGAGTCCCTTTCGTAAATCATCACGTAACTGTCTTTCTAGGCCTCTTCTTTCGCATTTTCTTTGTCTCTTAGCATCACTCGACTCTGCTTGAGACTCACTGGACTTCCGTTCCACTCAAATCCTTGTAGAGTATTCGTTTATTTTTATTAACCAGTTATTTTATGTTTAATGATTTTTACCGTCTTTCTTGCTTTCCGCCTTCCTGCTAGAACGCTGATTTCTAGTTCTCGCCTACTCAAATGAGGTAGAAAGATATATTTTTTAAAGAATATTCGATATTAGATCTGAGATAACTTTGTGCGTTTTTCTGTCTCTGTAGCCGTTGGGCTAATTGCAATTTACTACGTTCAGTTCTTTACTTTTGTTTTGCGCCGTAAGTTCTGGCTGGTTCTGTAAGCACAAACTGTGCCTTCTGTTAAATTATCTGAGTTAATAAAATGGTCTTTTACACACTTTCTAAGCCTCTGTTGTAATTTACAAGCCATAACAAGAAGTCCCTTGAGTCATCATAGTTTTCATTCAGTTTGTTTTACCAAAAGAGAATGAGACTTTATAACTTGTCCAGTGTAATATGTTGTTGCCCGCGTTTTTTAAAATATATTTAAAGTAAGGCACATCATTGTCACTGAAAATGCTTATTTTGTTGCTTGATACATTTGGCTTATATTTATTGTTGCATAAAACTTTGCACATAACACCATTTTGAGCAAATTTTGCAAATCAAAGTTATAGGTTCATCTTTTCTGCCTTCCACTCACTCTGAAGATATTTGCCATTTTTCCCGTAATTGCCTTTTGTTTGTGCCAGTTTCTGAAGTTATTCCAGTTATTTCTTACTGTGCTCATTTTTATAATCTTTCAGTGACTCCTCCAAATCTTCATTGTCAAACTGAAAGCCAATAGTTTGGTTTGGAGACAGAATGTCATAGATAAGAAGTAAAGGAAAAAAAAATAACTCTTCCTCGTCGAAGCTCTCAAAATCTTTGCCTGCATCACAATCTGGCATTGTTTCCTCCAGGAATTTATAGTCCTGTAAGGTCTCTTGCTAACAGACTTTGATAATGAGAATTAAGGAACGAAACGTATTCAGATTGCTTTTCCAGATGTTTCTGAGCGTTAATCCAATAACATGTTTCTAAACGCTTCTGTTGCTGATTTCAGTGTTTCTAGACTCAGTTTGTTAGCGGAGAGTATTGTTTGTCGTCACCTGAGACTGCGCTCAATAAACATAAATGTATCTTCTAGCATTCAGGTGTATATGCAGGATTATAACAGAAGGAATGTTACATATGTGTTCGTAAGGAAATACGAACATTATTTACACGATTAAACAAATATTTAATAGACAAGGCTTATGACGCTAAAAACATCTTATCATCTTTTATTAATTAGTTTGATGCTACAATGCATTGCATAATACCAACATTAAAATAGATTGGGCAACTAAATCCTCATATTCTTCAATCCCATAAATACAGCGAAAGATAAGAGATTCGAAAAACTCTAATTTTCGCGCTTTTTCATCATTCGAATCTTTCTAATACTAACTTAATCCTTAACGCAAAAACGTAGGTAACGACTCTCAACTAGGCGCCAAGTGTGCTGGTCATTACACCACGAAGGCATGCTAAGAAGGCGGGAGAAATACCTTATAGGCACACCTTGTTCCAACATTTAAAACTCTACGATCTGTAGGTACGGCATTACTTCCCAATAATAGACACCCACCGGATCAGACATTTTGTCCTTTAAATAGAAGTGTCCCTTCTTCAGAGGGTACATACCAAAATCATGTATAATTTAATCAGAAATTCAGTTTGCATCAAGCTTTAAATAAATTACATATAAATAAGTAACATAGTCACAGGTATTTATTTGAATTTGAAGTTAATGAAGATAAGTCTTAATAATTAAAAACGTTCACTTTTGCAAAAATGTGCGAATTGAACAACAGTGTTTTGTACTGACAGAAATAATGCTTTTCGCTAGTTTGTTTGAAAATCGGTACATTACAAGCATTTTTTTTTCACGTGGATGTTAAAGTCACTGACGATTGTATGTGCTTCGCTGTCACCAACAGTTATCATGGATTTTTCTGTTTATTGGGAGGGGTATTTTAAGGCATCTGTATTAGTTTTTGTGTTACACTTTGTCTGACTTTTCTTCGTCTTCCTCATTGCTCCCCAAGCCATTTTTATTAAAGTTTACATCACGCTCAAGTTGGAAATAAAAGATTTTACGCCATCACTGGTGTCTTCGGAAGATATCGATTTCCGAATATTCTTGCATATAGGCACTGCTACTGACTTTGACAAATTCAAACAATTCATTTTCATCAGTAGTACTTTCACTGAAGGCACTCAAAAGAGATATTTCAAAGCCTGCTTTCTTGAAACAGTGCTTAACAAAATTTTGTGATACGAATTTATCAGACTTTGTTATCCATTGAATGGCATTCAATATATTGACAGATTTTGCAAGCTGATCGCTGTTTCTGCAAGCAGCTTGACCAAAGCACACGCCGTAAAAACATAAGCTTCTAATTATATCTCGGTTCAAAGGCTAGGTGGAAAGCCCCTAATTTCACTGATTTCAATTTTACCTTTGTTGAATGAGCAAGCAAATTGTCAAATAATAGCAGAATCTCAACTTTTTTTTTTTTTTTTTTTGTTTTGTTTTCAGGCATTGTTTGATCAAGAGTAATCAACCATTCTGACATTATGCTTCGCGTCATCAATGACATTTTATTATGATGCTAATGATACGATGAACGTTTCGGATTTCTTTGTTTGAAACATCTTGGTTAGGTCTTTCAATAATAGATCTTTCAAAATGGCACACATTCTTGGTATAAAAATCAGAATATATTCTTATATCCGCATAATTTTTGCCTAGTGAATGAAGTGTGCGATCAGCCAGCAATGACTGAAAAGTCAGAAGGTTAAAGTTAAAAGTAATATACAGGTATGACCCAAACAATCCATGTTTCGCAGCCGTTTTTCTTTTCCCCTTCCCTTCCCTTATCTTTTCTTTTTTTCTATTTTTCATCTCATCAAAGTTCGAGTCGCATGTCTTCTAAACGCAAAAATGTTCTTAAAGTAATAATTGAGGAAAATAACCTGTGGTAATGACTTTAATGATAACTTTTATATTATTTACTTGTACAATTTGTGTTTTACTATATTTGAGACACAATTTGGGAGTGAAATTATTAGTAGAGTAAACACTAATACAAACTTACGAGTTCCTGATGAGCAATTCAAGTTCTGAAAATATAAATTAGGATTCAGTTTGTTTCCATAGGCATCCTGAACTTCGACATCGAATCCAAAATTCTTGTTACTGTGATGCAACCAATGATTGAGCGGCTCCATCACATTGAACTCAACCCAACCTTCGTCGTCGACGGAGATAGTCCTGGAATCTACGAGACGCTTCTTTTCTATAAATAAATAAATGATGTCTGTGAAAATGCTGTATATATAAAAAAATTCTAAATATTTATTATATATTTTATCAGATTTTTGTGATTAACTATTTGAATTTTGATGTAGACAAAGTCTCCTTAAATTTTAATATTTTAAATAGTAGTTTAAAAATAAATGCACATTTTCTTCCTTTAACACCGTGCTACGAATTGCTAAACAAACTATAAACACAGGATTCGTTTTAAATCACGTGAATTTGCAGTACTTGATAGAGCTTGATAAATTTGAAGGTTTGATAGAGTCTTTTCCCTCAGCTGCGGAAGTGAAAATATGAAGGGGAAACATATTGTTACGTGCGTAAGGGTTCGTAATAGATTTAATGCGCAAGCCCGATAATAGGTTAATAAAATTTATTCTTATCAAAAGAAATGTATCAGAACTCTGGAATTTTCCTCGAGATATTCGTACAAGTGTTCACAATATCACGCAGTATAAACAGTAGTTATACTTCAAACTACTAAAAACGTTAAATAGAACGCAATGCAAAGCGCATCTAAAGAAGAAGCTAACTCGGGTATCTCAGTTCACGTGGAGCTAAACAACTCGCAACAATAACTAAGCAACTGAGAGCAGATGCTCTCTCTTCGTCCATAAATAGTTTTCAATCGCCCGAGAGATATTTCTAGTACTTTCTGCTTCTCGAGATTTCTGGAAAACAATACGAGGATGGAATTACGGTTACAGCTAACATAGAGGTCAATTACATTTATTCAATTTAAATACAAAATACCGAGATGCCCATTGACTCAATGTTAAATGCACGTGCCCCTGTATTTTTACTTTTCCGGTATACTTTTCTCTTAAAATTTGTCTCGCGCTATATTAAACAGAAAAGTACAATAATTTTATTTATAATTATACTTAAATTATCTATCTAAATATAAAATTCGCAAAATTATGCTTGCTGCTTTCACTTTTTTTAATAGACGATGCCAATGGCTTTGATTTCTCTTCCTTTTTGTCTGTTGTTATTGCGGGAGCTCATGTTTCCCTTTCGTCATTTTCATTCCCGTAGTTAAAAAGAAAGATTCTATTTAATCTTCGAAACTCTAATCCATCAAATTTATACAATTTACACAAATTCGTTTTGTTAAAGTATATCTAAAAGTGATCTTCAGCGTGCTCTTTTTGTTATGATCGTGTAAAAAAGCTACTTGTACAGTTTCGGATCTGTTTATGAACTACGAAATAAAATAAAATTCAAATATATAAATTTTACAGAGTTAGTACGACATCATGTGGTCATTCCACTTCGTTGCAGTGGCGGTTGGTAAAAATATATGTTCTGACCATTTTTTCCCATTCCTTGATTGGCGAGATAGGAGAGAGGAGTGTCGCTGCGGTGAAATTGTTCTTCATTTGTCGTAAGCTGCGGTTTCAAAAGAGAGTTCTTCCATTTTTCATACTCTTTTATGATGTAAAGAAGTTATAAGACGTGTGCAAGTGGACGTCGCTGCAGTCTACTATTAAAAATATTACTTTGGACGATAAGATTTTTCGTGAGTCTTGAAGAAAGAGGGAAGCACATTTTTGCACCATTTTGTCTTATGTCGAGACAGGAGGCAGGATATTGTCTTATATTTGACTATGTGGAGCTATTCAGCAAAAATAATATTTGATCATTATCCATCTACATTGAATTTTAGTTGAAATTCTGTTCGTTATGTGCCAGAAAGGAAACTATTCGCAACGATGCATCTAGACAACCATTTGTTTTCTGTAATGCGATTCATAATGATTAATTTGAAAAAAACCTTTTTGTGGGATGTGTGATTAACATGCAACACACACTTTTTATTGAATTATCGCAAAATAAAGCAATATATATTCACAAAACGTGAAATATCTGCTTGAAGAAATAACAGCTGATATAAATAACGTGCAAGGAAAACGATGAGTGATAACCCAAACAGAATCCATTGTTTCCTCAATGGATAGTAAGCATATTGTCATCTAAATCACAGTCGCGAGGCTGTGCTGATAGACGAGAAGGTCTGTCAATAGTCACGCTAAAGAAAAATCTTTATAGGTGCAAATTTTGTTGTAGTAAGGATTCGCAGTTTTGTTCATATTCCAGTGCTGTCGCATTAGTTTTCAGAATTGACATTATAACTGTGAATCCTATGTGAAGCTACATAATGGTCTTTACCAATTCCGGTAGAACACATCTAATCATTACTAGGAGCGACTAATCTGAAAAATCGTTGAAATAATAGATAAAGTATAACTTACAAGCACATATGCCGCATATATATTACTCGCATACCACATATATGTTATACATATTTCTTGCTAGTAATTTAAAATTTATAATTTGGCATGCGTTTCTTTTAAAAAGACATTCATTAAATTAAACATTAAAATTGATTTGAAGAAAAATTATTTTCTGTGTGTATGCATTTTTGTGCATATTCCAGCATATTTCTTCCACTTTCATCATAATTAAGTGATAATTAAGTCCAGGGCATTAATAACACTTTAATATTAGATACGAAATAATTACTTTCTCAGTAATACTTAATTTTGGAGGATATTTTCGGAAATTTTAACTTTAGTTTCCTATGTTTGCTCTAGCTACATTCGTAAAGCGGCTTCATTCCTTCATAGGACTCATCTTATAGAATAATGCCTTTTTTGTCTTTTTATTGTCATTTAATTCCTTTTTTGGTTACTGTTCCCTTAGTCTCTTCACTGCTGTTAAAATCCCTTCAGTCCTTCACTTTAAGTAACAGCCAGTAGTCTGCAGCTGCCAAATCAGCGGAATAAGGAAGGGGTTGGGAATTACACCACTTTTCCTTGCTAGAAACTGCTTGAGGAGAATGAAACTGTTATGCAGTAGAAACCAGTCAGCTTTTTTAGGCCTAAGGCTCTGAAGTTTCGTAAAGTATTTCTTTATTTTAGCTAACCAGTTATTTTATGCTAACTATCTTTACTGTCATTCTGCCTTTCCGTTTTTCTGACAGAATGCAAATTTCAGTTCGGGTGTATTCAAATGAGGTATAAAAGGATAGTATTTAAAATAAGATTTTAGATTGTTTAGACAAAACGTATTCTTTTTGCTAAAGGTCATGTTATTAGTTGGAATTATACGATAGCAATATCTGTCTTGGGCGTTACTTTATTCTTGCCAATAGTGTTGGTCATGCAGCATAGATTAGAGCCAAGTTGAGCGTTAATAATTTTCTGTGTAGTCCTTGACTATCTTAGGATTTAGCGTAGTTTTAAATTGAAATCCCTTATTTAAATTAATATTATTACACCATAAATGCTGGCTGGTTTTGTAAGCTCCAGGAGTGCCTTCTTTTCCACTATTTGAGTTCTTAATAAAAGGTTTTTTTTACATTCTCTCTTACGCTGTCTATTTTCTTACTGGACATACTTAGCTCCATCCGAGTCTCGTTTTATAGTATGTTTCCCGAAATGGCGGACCCTATAGTTTCTTCAGAAATCTGTTCATTACGTCCTTAAGAAATATTAATTGAGATTTCTGAAACCGAAGATTCTGCAATGATGTCTCCATAGCGAATCCACTCCAAGCCGATGATTGCTGTTTGATCATAAGCAAAGCACCAAGTTTCATCTCTGGTTATAATCAGTTTTAAAAATTGGAGATTACTGTACGCAATTTGCAATAAAATGTTTCATTAGCCAGCTTTCTATCCATGGCAGTAGATGCTTACCGAATCAAAGTAAACTATTTAATTTCATAAGGAAAAAAAAACAAACTATGTATGTAAGCAAATGATATTTTGGGGTATGAAAGTATCATCTGCTTGCATTTTGGGTTTCCTGGAATTTGTTAAAAAATTAATCCTATAACCTTTGTATATTCAATGTACATTTCCTCCTATACTCTCTGAACTCGAAATCCGCTAACAAAAAACAATAAACACATCGAAGACGTTTGCTTCAAAGTGTTTAACAAAGTAGCACATAATAGCAAAATATTAGCAAATAAAGAATTACCTCTTCTATTTGCTCTGAGCGGCTTCAGGTATCGGTAAATAGAAACATTAATTCCATTAGCCGCTCTACTATTGACTAGCCTCTCCAACAGATCATGGCGAGGTAAAGTGGATTCATTGGGGTTCCATGCTACGAAGTTAGGATCAGTGTTTCCCGTTATTTTGTACAATCTCAGTTTAGCCAGCATAATATTTATCAAGGAAGTAGAAGAATGACGATTGAAGGGTATGTCGTAGTAAATTCTAAATGCTGTAGGATTTTCCCAGGATGATCTGTCTGTATTATTTGGTAATGAACCTGGAAAGAAGAAGCGAGTAATGAGTAATAATATTTTTTTTACGAGAAAAGTGACAAACATTCATTATTTTTAACTTGAAATGCAAAAAGAACTTGACTTGAAATGTAGCAAGAATTTATAACTTAAAATGAATAAGAGGAAGTACATAGATTTTTTATTTACACAGATGTGAGAAGAGCAACAAAGCATTCTGCTAACTTATTCTAAACTCTCCGTTTCAAAACTAAATTCTAAAGACAATTTCATTTTTCTCCCTTGCCCCTTCGTAATAGCGAAAATTATCATCGGGTTAGCGAAATCAGATAAAAATGCAGCACTTTTAATAAAACAATGGAGGGTTTAATATCAGAATCTTACTTTAATCATAAAAGTGAATGAAATAAGATTATGAAAATATTTAATTTCAGAACTGTTTGATTAAAATGATTTTGAAAAACTGTGACGCTATTGAACGCTATTCATGTCGCTATTGAACTTCCGAATAGTAGCATGGAATTTTAAACTCATGATAGATTTCACTGCATAATTACTACAAATTTATAAAACTTATTAGATTAGCATTGTCTGCCATTTGAAGCGAGGATCTTCAGAGTTCTATTCTCTATTTTTCTATTCTTTTTGAAAATCACCAAATAGGGTTTCATCATCATTTTCAACAGTTACGACAAAACAATCTCTAACAAAGAGATTATATTTTTATTAATTTCGTTTATATTATATTTTTATTATTCGTTATTATTTTTATTATTTCGATTATAGTTTATTATTTCGTTTCTTTCGGCTTATCAACACACGCGCGCAAGTCATCGGTTGAGAAAACAGATTAAAAACAACCATGCTTTATCTTTTATTAAACAACTTTTCAAAAGCTGAAGTTATCAGATACATCACTTCAAGATAAATTAAGTATCTGTGAAAGAGTTAAATGCATGTTGATGAAATATTTGGTTGGTATTTTAAAGAAACAAATATTACTCAAGTGGCTGGCTCGTGGTATTTGTGGATTTTCATAAATGATGAGGTCGCAAAAATAAATTTTAGAGACATTTATTATTGATTTTAATATTATTTATTTATTTTCTTAAAGGGTCTCTTTTCTTTTCTTTATTCTTTTCTTTTTTCTTTGTGTGTCTGTGTTTGTGTTTTTGCTAATTCTAATTTTAACTCTTCCACTTCCACAAATTATACCACGAGGCGTACACAAGTAAGTTATGCCACTAAAAATAAATAAACAAATGTATAATAGCGCTGCAGATGAGATATAAATTATTTAAAAAATAAATAAAAGAAAGTAAATAAAAAATAAGTAAAAGGAAAAGTAAAGAAAAGTAATAAAATAAGGGGAACTCAATAATCTAAGGTGAGAATGAAATTCCGAAAAGCAGAAATTTTCCATTTATACCGAAAAAGCTCAGAAAATATTGGTGGCCTTCATCAAAGTTGGATGACATATCTGCTGGACATAATGAACGCATTCAAGAAGAATAAGCTTTACATCTTCATCAATCGCTACCACAGCTCCACAAAGCACTTAAAGCAAATACAGATCACTTTAAAAATCTCTTAAAATTGCCATACCCAGTCAAAAATCGAGTTACTTTAAAATGTGTTGAAAATTGAACGACTTTTATTCTGTGAAAAATTGTAGGAAAAAAAAACCTTTTGGTCCATCGTGCTTTGGATGAGGCCAGATATTTTCGGTTCCAAGGTTTCTATTTAAGTTTTGTTTAATTATCGTTTCTTTGGAATGATTTTTATTGAGGCACTGGAGTACTTAGTAAAGTAACTTTAGCTGTTACTATATAAGCATTCGAAATCACGATTGATTCATCTTGGGTAAGTTCAAATCAATTTAAAATTATTTGTTGTGAGTTTTACCTACATAACAATCGCAAGCTTCCTAAACGAGCTTAACTGTCCGGTCCCTTATATTTGAGATTTGAATTCTTTAAATAACTGGTTAATCGTTAAGTTTTTCATGTGTATAGCTTTAATTGCTGTGAAAAGCTTTTAGTTCATAGTTCAAATAATAAATTCAACTTGTTTTGCTGCAACTATTATTGTTTAATGTCTGTAAGTGTAGACTCTTCAGCAATTTGTTTAATGTAGAAGCATTTACGTAAAATGTAAAAATCTGTTGAATAACTTGCATGTTGCGTACTTATTATATAAAATTTTACTTTTTCAGTTTTAAATTATCCACATTTGTTATTAAATTGTTAAATAATAAAATTAATTGTATTATAAAATAAATTTCTCATCTTTGTTAAAACCGTTTTTGAAAAGATGAACAAAGTTTTACCTTTCTGAAAAGAAATGAAAAAAAATATTTCCTTTAAACTAATACAAAACTGAGAAACAATAAATTATTATAATGGAAATAATGAAACAGCACAGGAAGTTGCTGTACTATGCCAGAAGAAAAAATTAATTCTGAGAGGAATCTAAATTTTATAAACAAAATTATTTAATTTGACATTAATATTGTGAGACTATTTTTAATTTTGACGTTAATATTCTTATTTAGGATTACTTTCAATTAACTATTCTCACTTAGACCGATAATTTTGAATTTATAATGCAGTATAGATTGATAAAATTTATTTTACCAAAAGAAACATTTTACATTTCTGGAACCTTCCACAGAAATATTTATACAGCTTTTCTCAGTATCACACAATCAGTAGTTACTCCTATTAAAACTACTAAGAACATACAACACATCCCAAAGAAAAACGCATCTAAAAGGCAAAGCTGTCCCATATATCTCAAAAATTAGTCTTCAAAATTGTCGCCAGCTGGGCCATATCTCGCCAATCTAGTGAAATCGCCATTTGCTTGATGCTAAAAATAGACTTGCCCGCTGTAATCTTACTTTTCCCGTAGAGCTTCGTATCTTTCAAGCATTTCATGTTACATTGTAGAAATATTACTGCAATTTCACATATAATTTCACTAAAATTATTTACATCCGTGCAAAATCCGTAACAATATATATATCTATGATTAACCTCTACCCACATATGTACAGTAGCGAGCGTGAGTATCACGAATTACCTAAGTATAATTTTTTTAAAGGGGGAAGGAGAAAAATGAAAGAAGAAAGGAAGAAGAGGAAAAAAAGTCTCAAAACAACGAGTTAAATACATACACTTTTATTAGAAACTAATTAATATTTATAAACTAATTGCCAATTAAAAATAAATGTAATAAACTGACCTTTGAGACAATACAAGTTTAACAAGCCACCTATAAATAATGAATATGTGAATAAGAATTTAGTTTTGAGTAGCATCTGCGACAACAGAAGAGCACACTTGAGCGTTATTTAAAAATTTCTCTGATATTAATTTTAATGAGAATTGACGTCATGGCTATGAGATGTCACGTTTTTAGTAACTGTTATTTCAAAATAGATGAGAAATTTATTAAATGATTATTTAATTAAGCTACGAAAATTGACAACTTAAGTCATTTACTTATGGTTATTTGCAACTTCTCCACCAAGGATGATACTTGTTTTAATCAAATGAAAAGTGGACAGCAGTGCTTAAAATTCCCCTCGTTAGGGTACAAATAAACATTGATTTTCACATGTAGCCACGTGTGATGGGAGCGAAACAGGTTCTTGATATCATTCCTCGCGGAATGCGTCTAGTGCGTAGAACTGATTCGCTTTCACTCGGATGACAAATGTGTGTGGTAAGTGTGCTGCCTAAAATAGGTTTAAATCACGAAACTTTTATAATCTAATTAGACGTATTAATGATTTTATTCTATATGTTATGGTGTAAAGCTTACGTTTAAATGTATGGATATTGCGTCGTGCAACAACGATTTCGCAGCTTTGGGGGGAAAGGGGGGAGCAGTTTTTTGTGAAATACGATCGTCTCCATATACCCCTAAAACTAGGAGTTCACAAGGAGTTGATACGTTGTTTTCAGGCAGCTCACTCGTCAAAAATACCTGTCATTTCATTGAAAGCAAACCAATACTATCGGCTGTACCCTATAGCGCATTGTCACTTTTACCTACCCGACGTCACGAACTTATTTCTCTGACGTAATATCTGAGGCTAAGTTAAGGATATAGTATAGAGTCACTGCGTTTTTTTTTAAAGCAGGAAAGGTTAGAAATGTGCATTGCTCCCGTCGGTACTCGAACCCTAGACTTCTCGAATACGCTTCGAGTATGCCTCTTTTAAAGGACGACTGGGGATTAGAGGACCCAATCGCCAAATCCTGGTGGTGATGAATTATCGTCCACCACCTTTTAATTCAGACGCCACTTACAGAGTCACCAGGGTTTTTTTATAGCAGGGCAGATGAAAAATGTGCAGTGCCTTCGCCCGGATTCGAACTTTGGACCTCTCGAATACGCTTCGACAATTACAGCACCAAGGGATGCGGAAAGCAGGGAGAAAATGCCTTATAAGTAAGCATATTTAAAAAGGACTGCTTACTTCTTATCATCATGGGGAAACTTTGAGTGTCGTTGCCCCGTTTTCATTTGACCAAATCTACTAGTGAATTTTCAATATTCTTGCAATATCTACACATTATCTGAGAAAATCTTTGGAGCAATAATGATTTAATTTAACCGCATTGGCCGCGATCCAGCATTCACGGGCCATTCAGACCGATTTATTGAAGAGAGGGTGGCATGGACATGAATCATGTAGTAGGGACTTCTGTTCCGTTCTCACTTTTTCCCTTTCTATTTTCATTGCGCACAAAGAGCACCGAATTAAGAAGGCAGAAAATTACTTTTACGTAGTCTAAGATAATATGCTGATCATCATTTGTAATTTACTGTTTGATTACATTGTGTTTAATTTTGTACATTTATTTATTTATATATTGGCAAAATTATGAGTGTTTTCAAAGCTTGATTTTGCTATGGACACATTTTATGAAAAAGTATAATTATAATTGTTATTGTAACTGTTTAGTTATTATATTTTATTGTATAATTTTCATTGGAATGCATTATATAATAATTACTTTAATTAATTATACTAATTTAACAATAATAAATAATTATTGTACTAATACTATAATTAATAATTATTATCTTACTATTTACATTTTTACCGTGAAAGGCCGAAATTGGACAATGTCGACTTTCACCGGAGAATGTTAACATTCACCAAATACGTTGGTGAAAGATCGAATATTGCGGTACATTCTTGTATATTCGGACTCTCACCGGTGTATGTCGACAATCACAGATATGCTCTGGTGTAAGTCGAAAAGGGAGGTCATAAAGTGCCATAATAGTTTAAGTTGTTGCAATAAATAGTATTTGAATCACATGTTTTAGTAAGTTTTTTATTACTGTTATTTTATTTTCTCATTTAGAACGTACTGTATAATTAAGTAAGTTTTTAACTTCTATTATTTTCCTTTCTCATTTTGAATGTATTGTGTGTTTTAGGTTCTCATGTTCTTATTTCAAGTCTCAAGTGCGTTTATTCGCTACTGAATTACGAGAAAGAAATATATAATTGTTATATGTTCAACATTCACCATTAGTACATGGTGAATGTCGACATTGACCGGTGTAAGTCAGAAATAAGAGTATTTGGAAAATATTTCGGACTACACCAAGAGACTATTTGAATGTTGACATTCACCGGTGAATGTCGACATTCTCCTGATTTCGGTCTTTCACCGTAACATATATATACATTTATTTACACTGAAAAAATAAATGCCTTAATAATAAGTTAGAATAATTTTAAGATACTAAATGATTATTATAGTTATTTGATTATACTATAATATTTATTTAACTATACTGTATTAAATCATTATTCTATTTCTTTTTGATTTTGGGGTTAAAATTCATATGCGCTATTAAACTAGTTGAAGTATGGGGTAAAAATCAAATTTAGTTTAGAAAAAAGAACCAAAATAATTCTTGGATAAAAGATCACAATACTGGCAAATATCACGTTACTTTATACGTTATGGGTAGAGGGGAAATTCAACATCTCTGTGTTCCAGCGTTGCACACAAGTGTGAAATCTTAGCGGTTATATGAAATTCCGGGCACGAAAGACAACTGATGACAGGATCACACGATGTACACGGGGACTTTTCTTCCTTCCATAGAAAATTTCCTCTCTCCGGATAAGAAGGACCTTTCATGTGACATCTTCACACTGAGGCACGCAATTAACAACCGTCCTGGAAGATCCTAAGTGTTTTGGAAATGCCAACCAAGGTTGCGTTAACACAGTCTAACTATACAGACCAAAATTTTGCTCTCAGCAACTCATTTCGAAGTCCGATTGTAGAACTCTGATTTCAAATAGTTATTCACACAGCACTTCATAAGACGTACAAATAGGTCTTCAGAAGTCATTAAACATCTCTTTTTCGCACGCATATGCAGGGAAACTAATTAGCAAGCTTCTAATTTCCTGCTGTACGTTTATCATAAAACGTAATTTTTAATTAGAATTAGAAGTGGAAAGGTGAATTTTTTTGTTGTAGGTAATGCGTTTCATCAAAATTGGTACATTTCTTATGGGAAGTAATTCTAATTTGATGTCATTTCTGTGAAGACTATTAGGCAATCAATTTTCTAATCATATTACATTTTTAAATAGTAAATGAAACAACTTTGAATGTAAAATTCGTCTTAATAAAAAAAAATCGTTCAATAAGTATTATGTACTTACATGACGGATAAAAACTCTGCAAGCGCTGCATCGTGTACATATTATCAGGGCTTGAAGGCATTTCGTCCATTTGACTATTGTTATTCATGTGTTCGACAATTATGGCCAATTTCTTTTGCTGGTCTTCAGATAAATGAGATGACGTAATATTGGGTTGTCGATCCATACGTAGCCTGTGAAGAATATTCGCTTGGATGATGATAATTCTTTCTTGCTTCTTCCTGTAAAATGAAGGATATACAGTTTTTTTTTCATACTTTTTAACCACAGAATAATTTCTTTAATAAAGCACATTTAGAAATGCGAAAAAAAAACCTGGAAGCTTTTCGATTTTAACAGGTGCCCAAAAAATGTTTGTGAAGTTTTTTTGCGCTCTTTCTGAGCTCGTAGTCTACCAGTCTGCTTTTGCAGTCACTTCCGCTAAACACTTTTTTTAAAATTTTTAGCTTATTATTAAGCATCGTTTTCTGCGCATTTACCCCACAAACAGATCAACATCAAAGTAACAAATTTTTTAAAAGCTGCACGGCAACACATGTTTAGAATTACCTATGGACTATTGACACTATTGACACTCTTTCAACTACCTATTGACACTCATTTTTTTACACTTTTCAGTCTTTCCTCAGTTCATCATACTAATATTCAGCTTTCTTAGTCAGATGGGTTACAAAAAAAAATTTTTTTTTGTCTTTTTATTATTAACGTTTTTTACGTTAATTTTATTTGCGATCTCATTCTTTGCAATTACGCCTCCTAAAATTCAGTTTTACAGCAAAATTACAAAATGTTTAAAAATAGTATATCTTTAAAATTCCCGAGAGCTACAAAGCCACAAATATTCTTAAACATACTTTAGATAAAAACTTATTATATTTTAAGGATTGCCATTTCATTTCTAATAAAATATTTTTCTCATAAATACGTTTTGATATTAACTAAACTGTTTTTGTCATATTTTCTCATTAATGAAATAAATTAATTTAATCATAGGTAATGATGTAATATGCGATCTATCGCTTTTAGTTACTTATTTATATACTCTTTTGCAAAACAATCGAAGCACCAAGAAGGACTTTTGCTATCGTGACGAAATTTGATATGCAAAAACACCTTGATCGAACATGCAAATGATCAAAGTTTCAAGGCAAATGAACAGAAATTGAGATCATAGCGCGCATTTCCAGTGCGCAATTCGCAAAGTATAAAACCAGTAACAGAAGCGGAAAATTTATCTTTTTTTGTTGCTGCCATCGTAATTCCGCAAAGAAGCAACTAAAGATGCCATTACGACGATATCGAAGATCTTACAGACAACGACTTCGAACGTGGTCGCATTATAGTGTTGCGTGTAGCTGTGTGGCCATACCGAGCAGCAGGCCGTATCTGCAGCGTACAGACACTGCTGTGCAAAGAAGTTGGCAGCAACGGTTGCTACAAGGAAATTGTCTGATATCATACTGCGGCCGGTTGCATTACCCTTCACGGCATGTCATCCTGGGGCCATTTTCTAACAAGATATTGCCAGGCCATATACCGCTCGCATATTTAAGGGCATTTTCAGTGAATTTTTAGGTTATCAAAATCCGGGGCCTGGTGATGATTATTTGTTGGCCATGCTGCAAGACAATAACTGAAGGACTAAAAAAAAAGTGCCCTCTTAAGGGCCACAACTTCTTTTGTTTTGCAAAATTGAAATGTCATATTTAATGGAATTGTAGATTTAATAGTTTATTAAAATAATTAATGGAATCACTTCCATTTATGTATTCTTAAATATTTGTATTTATTTTTACATTTATAAACAGAATTTTAGTGGCGCCATCTAAGAAATAAATAACCGATTAAAAATGGTAGATCATATGCTATATCATAAAAATGTAAATAACAAAAACAACAACATATAACAAAAAATATAAATAAAAAAAGCGTTGGATCGCATACTATATCATTACCTAATCATATTTTCTTATTTTTACAATAAACGTAAAGATTTATTTATTTTTAAATTGAGCTGAAATTAATAGATTAAAATAAGAATAAATCAGAGAAGGATTCTTGTAGATCCTCCTCCCCTCCCGAAAATGTAAATTTGGTTCTAAATTTCTTACTTTCTTACTTTTGTCTATACTGATCAATTTTTAGCAGCATATTGAGCGAAAATACTTTGAATAGTTATGTTTTTAACTAGAAACCTTTTTGCGCTATATCCCCAAAATCATGGTGATATGCATATATATGTATAACATGGTAACATACATATTAGATATATATGTTACCATGAAAGACCGAAATTGGAGAATGTCGACGTGCTCCGGTGAATGTCAATACATACTAAATACGTCGGTGAAAGATAGAATATTTGGTTATATTCTTATACATGCGGTCTATAATCGGTGTATGTCGAGAAGCACTGATATGCTCTGATGGAGGTCGCAATGAGAAGCCGAGAGGACAGAGAGACAGGTGTTGTAAAAGCAAGAGACTCTTGGGCAATTCAAAGCAGCTTAAGTTTTAATTCAAAGCAGCTTAAGTTTTTTTAATAAATAAGGCTTGTATAAAGTTAGTACATTATTAGATAAGTTTATTATTTGTGTTATTTTTTTTCTAATTTAAAATACAATGCTCGCTTTAAGTTCAACAGTTTACTTACAATGTGCTTTACTTAAGCTTTCTCCTATTTTGAAATATATCATAATATGTTTTAATAATGAAATATGATTTGAAAACGTAACAAGATATTTCACCATCAGTGTATGGTGAATGTCAACATTTCCCGGTGTAAGTAGGAAATAAGGATATTTATAAAATATTTCGCACATAACACCAAGTGAATCTGTGAATTTTGACAATCGCCGGCAAATATCGACATTCTCCAGATTTCGGTCTTACACGAGATTTCGGTAATATATATATATATATATATGTTACCAGCAAAGTTTGAAATCCGGCATTCTATAGAATGGCTAGGAAATGTGTGAAATATGAATCGTTTCATATATTGCCAGTTAGTTTTAGGCATTATATACGCAAATGACAAGCCGGCAAAGTATGAAATACATTTCCGATTCATTTCGAAGAAGCGAAGCTACTTATCAGAAGTTAGTAAATGACGTAAAAAGCCAAAATGACTACTAAGAAGGAACGACGGGACTACTGAACTGCTGAATTGCTAGGGTGTGCTGTTTGGGGAAAACAGATGTACACTGCGAAAAAAAAAAAGAGGGGGCAGTTCTGTATCTCCCGTTCTACTGGGCGGATTTACGAAATTCAACTTGTTTTTTTCATGTCTCGAAAGCGCGACATAGGATATGTATTAGATATATATAGCATTGTTCTAATATAGGTATTTTGACACAAAATCGGACGTTTTCTGAAATGACATTCTATTTTTTTTCCATATTTCGATTCTACGACTTAAATTATGCCAAATTTCTATGTTTTGCAAAAATTGCACGAGTAGGTTTTAAAAAATTAGCTCTCTAACTTTTAGCTCCTCAATGTTAATTTAATTTGATACATATTTATTAATTTCTCTTTTTTTATTAAACATACTTGATTCCTTCTTCCAGAATTCAAAATTTAGGCTTAATCCAAACCAAACATATTTTATAATTTAATTTTAAAATTTGTATTTTGATATACTTTTATAAATTTTTCGAAAACATTTTTGTATTATAACTATAAAATAAACTATAAAATATAAACTATAAAATATAACTTCAAAATTTTTAACATCATCTTAAAGCATAACAAAAAGGTATTAAAAAGACCGTTGATGTGAAACTTATGATTGGTTTTGAATTTAATTCCCGCTATTAGATAGACCTTACTGATTCCCAGTGTCAGCCAGATAGAAAATACAAAATGATTATATTGTATCAAGATCATCTCACTATTTGTTTTTACATATTTCGAATAACAGTTTTTAATGACACTCTTCTATTAATTTTTTAAAATAACATTTGTATTTTTGAGGAATGAACGTCTTTTAAGTAAGAGCCTAATCACAAACTTTTTTTCATACTTTGCCTAAAGAGCATTTGTCATCTATAGAGTGCCTAGGTATTATATACAATGCCTAGGCAAAATATATAATAATTCTAATATTTCATAAATTGCCTAAAAGGTCCGGCATTACATACAATGCCTAGGCATTCTATAAAATGCCAGCGTTTCATACTTTGTCGAGTACATATATAAAAACAAAAGATAAAAATTAAGTAAAAAAAGATCATAAAAAGGTGCGCAACATGCTAACAGGAAACATACATATCAAATTAAAGCAAAAACTATTCAAAACTGACCCAAAATATCATTAAATAAAATTAATAAATCATAATAAAATTGATGTAAAATATATCAAATTGTTTAAAGTTCCTTCGTCTCTTTCAGGGAGCAGCCAATGAATTTTCTAGAGAGCCATGCATCGGAATTATATCTAGATTATTGTACAAAGTTATGTAAAATGGAGCAATCTATAAATTAAAACTCGTCCCAAAGTAATTTTTCTTTTTCTTTTCTTATTCTAATAATTAATGAAATTACGTTTAAAGGTTTGCTATTATGTAAAGGCGAGTCGTTTGTGTTTCAAAGCCTACACTTGAGCTGTTTCACTTTGCTTAAAGTTGTCCAATCACACTTGGTTTATTTTATAGATGCTTATTCTTATTTCTGCGCTTCCAAAATATCGCAGGGCAATGTATTAGGCCTGTAATATTAAAAGAAGACCTTTTTCTGAAAAATCTGAAGCTTAGCTGAAGATGAAGTACAGGGACATTTAAAGGATTTTATTATTCAAATGAAAAAATTATTTGAAACTTATTTAAAAATGATAATAAATTAATAAAAATTATTTTCAAATGATAAAACTTAACAGGCATCTGCAGTAAATAGAAAGGTAAACAGGAAATGTACTCAAACTACATAACGCATGAAAACTAGTTAATAGTTTATGATGTCAAAGAAAGATTTTTTTTCGCCATGATCATTTGTTAGCTATAAATTTAACAAGTTCAGTGGGATATAAGACATTAAAAAAGTGAAAAAGTTCAGTGTGTATAATGCATGAAAAATTTCGCCCAGAACAAGACCTGAATTCAGTCTCAATATTTTCTGTGCTATCATTAACTCTAACCAGAGTATACTTTAAGAGAGACAAAATATATTGTACACCTGAATTGCAATAATAACGAAAAATACTATTAACAGAAAATATTTG